CTTAGCATGAAATCTATTTTCATGTAAACACACTGATAGGGAAACTGTTTAGAACATTGGTTTTCAAATTTTTTGTTCTCATACATCCAACAGAATTTTAAAATGTATGTACCTCGTACATTTTATTTTTAAATTCTTTATTGTTTAAAGTATTACATGTATCCTTCCCCCCCCCACAGACCTCTCCCCAGCCACGCCCATCCCCCAGTACCTTGTACATTTTAAAGTGAACTTAAATACTTCCTAGTAACTTAAAATAGTAATTACAAAGATATCATTTCTATAAATCAGTATTGATACTTAAAAATAAGACTGTTAGAATAGTTTTTAAATGTATGCATGGAATTCTAAATACTAATTTAGGATTTGCTACCTGAAATTATTCATGTAAAATATAGATATATATGCTTTTTTATAAGTATGAAATTTCATATCAGTTTTTTCTCTTTGATTAATATTTTTTTTAAAATATCCGCAGGTGGACGCTCTATCCACTGAGCCAAACCGGCTTCGGCTCTTTGATTAATATTTTCATCCTCACCCCCCAAATTTTTCATAATGTAAATTATTGCTATACTTGCAAACGTTTTATGATTTTCTGTCATAGTTACCTGAAATAGAAACACACACATACAGGATATCCCCCCCCAAAAAATGTGTACACACTTTCATAGCTGATAGGTGTTGAGTTGTATGAGTTCTTTGTATATTTTGGATATTATTCCCTTGTCAGAGCTGTTGTTTGCAAATAACATCTCCCATTTGGTTAGTTGTCTTTTTGTTTTGTTGGTTGTTTAATCTTTTTTTGTTGGTTGTTGATGAATCATTTGCTTTAAGAAAAAACAATCTTGAGGTAGTCAAATGACAAAGACCCTTTATCTTTACTGTCTCTCATCTCCTCTTTACTCTTTAATCCTCTCTTCCTGCTCCCACACATACACTTCAAGGGAGATGATTTTTCCCACAAGAAATTCTGTCTTCATTGGACTTGATCAGTAATCTGCCATTGATCCAGTTCACCACTCCCTCCTAAAAACTCTCTTTGTTTGACCTGGATAATGCAGGTTTCTGATTTCCCTGTTACTGATATTTAAGAATAGCTGATATTTACATAACATACTATATACCACTTTTCTAAATGTTCTTTAATTGATTAATCTTTACAACAACCTTATATGGTAAGTAGAAGTATCACTGTCATTTTACATGTGGAAACTGGGTTTCAGAGAGGTTAAACACCTTGCCCCAAATCATACAGCTGGAAAGTGTCAGAGCAATCGTTCAAACCCAGATAGTCCATGCTTTTAATAACCACCCTCATCTATTACTTTCCTGGTCACTCTTAATCTCCTTTTGGATTTCTCTTACTCAACATACCTCTCAAATGTTGGCATTCTTTAGGGGTCTTTCCTGTGTTACCTT